TATAAAGCCACCACACTTCCTAGGTGCTACTATAGGTATAAAAATAGTGACTAAAACACAGCCCCTGCCGCCAGGTAGCTCATGGTGTACAATGAGAAATAAACAAGTAAATAAACAGGTAAGTGCAGGCCCTGGGTTGAGTCCTGCATCATATAAACCACTTGCATCCTATCTTTTAACACTTAGAATTAGTTTATGAAGCAGGCTAGTAGAAATCTTTCAAATTAACCTGAAAATCAGCATAGAAAGAAAATGCACTGACTCAGCACTTCAGTGCTAGATGTTGGACACGAGGCATGGCAGAATGCAGAGGATTCCACTGATGTTCTCAGGACCATGTCTTTCTGTCTCACAGCCCAGCTTTCCTCTGGATGGACTTCACTCTTGGGCAGTCTTTCTCCATTCAAGGCACAGAGGACCTGAGAGAGGCTGCAAGCTTACAGTCTAGCTGCCTAGCAGCCCTACAAAATGAAACTGAAGAAATCATAGAAAGGCCCTCATTGGCTTACTTATATTACAAACCAATCATTATGACTCTAATTAGGCAAATCTGGGCCATAATTCTGGTCATGGGGGGAATCCACTTGGCCTGAGAGTTTAGGAGGATGACACCCCAGTGCAAAAGAAAGGAATCATCACAGAAAAAGAAGGGATTGATGATAAGTAACCTTTGTTGTTGTTGTTAAGTGCCATAGAGTTGGTTCTGACCCATAGCGACTCTGTATAGGGATTCCAAGGAGCAGCTGGTGAGTGGAACCACCAGCCTTGCAGTTCAAACTGACTTTGCGGTCCAGCACATTAACCCACAGCGCCACACCAGGACTCGTACATCCCTAAAAATGAAATCTCCTAAAAGTGTCAATTGCTAACTTGAGTGGACTCCAACTCATAGTGCCCATGTGTTGAGAGTAGAACTGTGCTCCATAGAATTTTCAAAAGCTGTTGTTGTAGAAGTAGATTGCCAGGTCTTTCTTCCAAGGCATCTCTAGATGGACTTGAACCTCCAATCTTTCCATTAGCAGTAAAGCTTGTTAACTGTTTGCACCACCTAGAAGATTCCTCCTTAAACTAACCTGTAATTCCCTGCCCTCAATTCCAACTCATAACAATGCTATAGAATAGAGTCTAAGTGTCCACAGAGTTGCCAAGGCAATAATCTTTACAGAAGCATATGGCCACATCTGTCTCCCACAGAGGGATTGTTGGGTTCAAACTGCTGAGCTTTCAGTTAGCAGCCAAGCGCTTAACCACTGAGCCAAGAGGACTCCTTCCTACTAAAAGTAGACTCTGAATTCACCCATTTTAGAAATGAGAAAACTGAGACAGAAAGGTAAAGTCAATTATCCCAGTTCACATAGCCAATGAGTATCAGAGAAGGGATCTAGGACCAGTCAGTCTGACTGAAGAGTCTTCGTTCTTAACAGCCAGGCTACCTAGAGTGTTAAGTCACCTTTCCTAATCCACATTCAGGATAAGCTGTACGCCCATAAGAGCTCAGAGATCCAAGGTACCGGCAGCGGGAAAGGAAGGTTACGTCCCAATGTTCTACGTGTGCCCTTACCTGAGCCCTCAAATCCCCAAGTTAGCCTTTAACATCATAGGCTCAACACTGGACTTCGAACCACAAGGTCAGCACTTCAAATCCACCAGCTGATCGTTGGAAACCCTATACAGGGTCGCTACAAGTCAGAATTGACTCTACAGCACTTAACAACAACAGCAACAAGAGTCAGAAATGAGCCCTAGTGGCACAGTGGTTAAGCACTTGGCTCTAATTGAAAGATCAGAGCTTCAAATCCACTTGCCACTCCATGAGAGAAAGGTGTGCTCCTGCAGATCTGCTTCTGTAAAGACTGTTGTTGTTAAGTGTTGTCAAGTCAGTTCTGACTCATAGCAACCCTGTATAGCATTTCCGAGGAGCAACTGGTGAGTTTGAACTGACTTGGAGATTCAAACTGACATTTCAGCCCAGTGCTTATCCTACAGTACCACACCAGGACAGATTGTAAACCCTCTGAGGCGGTTCTACTCTTATCACATAGGGTTGATATAAGATGGAATCCATTTGATAGTAATGAGTTAAAAGCCAGAAGAGGAGACTCTGGTTAATACAAGTAGTTAAGCACTGGGTTACCAACTGAAAGATTGGCAGTTCGTACCTACCAGAGGCACCTTGCAAGAAAGACCAGGTGCTCTGCTTCTAAAAGGTCACCGCCATGTAAACACTGTGGGTCTCCATGCTTCAGAATCAACTCCGCAGGATAAGAGAAGGGGAGGAGGAGAAAATGAGGCCCAAGTGCTTGAAGATGAGGCCTTCGGATTTGAAAGGTTGCTTGCCTGCCCAGCCTCTGGGAGATGAAAGAGAGAAGGGGAGAGAGAAATTAAGGAATGTAAGGGCTCCCTGGGAGGGCTCTTTTGCTTTACTTTCCTAGCATCTTCTAACGTGGTCAAAGCCGCAGTGAGAACCTGCAGTGTAGGCAGATTTCTTCAGCACCATCCCAGTAAATTACAGTCCCCGCTACTCTGCAGTTACAGAGATCTCAGCGGCCCCACTCATAATAAATGGGAGCATGACTCACAGGAGTCCCAGCGCTGATGCTGCATTTGGGTCATTTGGTGTTTTTAAATTAGTGCTTAGAGCCCCTCCAGGGGCCCAGGCCTCATTCGAAAATAATTAACAATGGGGCTGGGTACATTTGCAAAACAGCAAGCTGCCATCAAGTCTTCCAAGTCAATAGCAGGCAAGTGCCAGCGTGACTCATAAATAACTACAGAACTAGATGATCAGATGCTGTTGCAGAGACAGAACTAGATGATCAGATGCTGTTGCAGAGCTAGATAGAAGTACTTCTTGCCCCTTCTTCCCCAGGAGGTGAGGAGCCACCATGGATGCTCTTTGGAGGACTGTTCACCCTTTGCCCATTGTGCTTGTTGTCTGAGAATTGAGGACAGCCTTCACCCCAGAGGAGGAGGAGCTGATGATGAGAAAGACAATGGAGGACTACTAGGAGGAGGAGGAGAGGAGATGTGTGGGCAGTGTTGGTTCAGTGGTAGAATCCTCACCTTTCATAAGAGACTGGGGTTCCGTTCTCATCCAATGCATGTCTGTCAGTGGAGGTTTTCATTGGCTATAACGTGGAACAGGTTTCAGCAGACCTTCCAGACTAAGATGGACAGAAAGAAAAGCCTGATGACCTACTAGACAGCAGACCAACAAAATCAGCCTCGCCTGGGGACTTGTTAGAAATGTCCATTCTCGGGTCCTACTGAATCCGAATCTTTGGGAATGGAGCTCAGGAATCTACATAGTTCTCCTAGCTGTAATCCATGCTACGTTTCAGAGCCACTGTTCTAAATTACGTGTAATTAAGCTCGTGTCTAAATTTCAGCTGAATACCCAAGGCAGGCTAGCATCAGCTAAAAGGAAAACAAAAGAGCAGATTCATTAGTTAATATCCTGTTTACGCTTCCACTGTCAACACTAATCATGGCTTTGTTTTGCTAGACCTCCCTGCCTGGTTCCAGTTATTAGTCCTAACCCGTAAGAGTGCTTTCTCATTAGACAGGGCTAGTGTCATCCAAAGGGTGCCTAGCAGTCATTCAAAAAGTGTTTGAGTGTCTGTGAATTTCACCCTCTTTCCATTTTATAATATTAAGCCAGGTCCGAAGTGAATCATCACTTTGGGGATTTTTTTTTTTTTTTAATGCAGTTTGATGATTAAGCTTTCAATGGCGGTTATAATCCATAAATTGTAGATTCTCTCATGTTGTTACTTGAGCAATGGGACAGTGTTCATTCAGTCTTTGCATGGACCTATTCTACAGTCATTTATTGAAAATTTAACATATGCCACCACCTTGCAAGTGAGAATAGTTCCCAGTCCTTGGGGAGCACAAGTGGTTAAGTACTTGGCTACTAACCAAAAGGCTGGCAGTTAGAATCCACCAGAGGTATCTCAGAAAAAAGACCAAAAAAAAAAAAAAAAAAAAAAAGCAGCAATTGAAAACCCTATGGAGTACAATTCCAGTCTGACTTACATGGGGAGGGGCGCTAGCAATCAGAACCAACTCCATGACAATTGACTTTGTGTTGTTTTGGTGCCTACACCACAGAGTGGAGAGGTAAAAGTTTGAAACCAAGCAGGTTGCCTGGCCCCTTGGACGTGTTTTCAGAAGATACACATGAGTCACACCCAGACCCATGTGTTTATCACCAAACCCTGTTCCATAAAGACAAGTATCCAGCTCCAGGGAATCTCCCCAGGAGCTGAGTCGGCTCCCTGTACCACCTGAGCTGGGATTGACAGTATTTCTCAATCCACCAGCTACTTTTTCAGATGAATATAAAGAGAACCAATTTCTTGAGCTCTTTGATTTGTCCCAGGCTTACTTCCAAACTATCAATAACATTTCATAATATCAATATTACTTCCCAAATATGAATTCAACAAACACCATGCTCTCTCTACATAGATTAGCTCATCCACAACAACCTTCTACAGCAAACCATATTGCCTTCATTCACATTTTGAAGTAGGAAATTGAGGCACAGAGAGGTTAAGTAACTTTGCTCACAGTCACACAGCTGGAAAGTGGCAGAGTCAGGGTTTAAACATAAGCAGCCTGACTCTCAACCACAAATCTTCACGTTATATCTAAACCTCCAATGACTCCATTAGGTAGATAGGTCTTTCTGGTTTTCAGGTGCAAAAGTAATGCCCAATTAGTAATTAGTAATCACCAATTAGTAGGGACTAATTGGTGATTCCATCCTAAGCAAGTCAGATTCATAAGCCCATCTTCTTCCCCACACACGCTGCCCCTTCCATCCTTGCTACTGATGTGTTACAGAAACATTCATGAGCTGCCACCACTGCAAATAGCAATGGGATTCCAAGTAAAGCTGGAGGGTGCCTGGGCCAAGCTGGGAGATCACGGGAGGGTGCTGCGTTCACAACTACTATGAGTTTTAACCTTCTGGTCTGTGCCTTCTGCCTCAGAACCCTCCATGGCAACGACATTTCCAGCGTCCCCGAAGGCTCCTTCAATGACTTGACATCTCTTTCTCATCTGTAAGTAGCCATATTCCTCCCAATGTGCATCCACTCAACATGGTAATTCTGAATAGTGCCAGAGACAATACCGTCCATCTCTGTTAATGCTGTGGTGAATGTTTCTTCTGGTATGTGGGCAGTATGCTTTCTAAAAAGTTACTCATGTTGTGCAGGGTGTTTTGTTGTGGTTGTTGTTACCTGTTAGAGATGGCCTTTAGTGGCATCATCAATTATGTAAATCATGTAAGCCTTTGATTACAATAATTAACACAAAACAGTTACTAATGGCCTAAACCCTTTAGATTAATTAGCTCATTTATCCCTTACAATAAGAAGTCAGTTTTATCCCCTTTTCATACATGCTGACTTTGAAACTCAGGGAGGTTAAGGAACTTGTCCAAGCTAGTAAGTGACAGAGACCCAATTCAATTCCAAGGTTGTGTGACTCCAAATTGCATGGTCTGAGCCATCCTGTCTGAGATATTCCATTTCCATTTTTCAGAGAGGAAACTGAAGCCCTGTCAAATCAGCGAGGCCTTAGACTAGAGCCCAGGTTTCCTAATTCTCGGGCCAGTCCATCTTCCCAGATCAGGCATCTATACTGTTTTTGTTTTCTTAATCACATACCTCTATCAGTGAATTTTTTTAGCTTGTTTTCCTATTCTATACAAATTTATTTTTATATGATGTCCATACACTACAGCAGTCCTGGTATGGCACACTGTGGGTAAAGCACAAGCCTTTGATTACAGTAACTACCACAAGGTTAATAGTTCAAATCCACCAGCTGCTCCTCAGAAACCCTATACAGGGTTGCGATGAGTCAGAATTGACTCCAGAGCACTTATCAAAAGTAACTTACACTACAATAGTAATATAATGTGTATGTGTTATAAAACATTAAAGGTTAACATTTTAAAGCATGTGTTTAAAAATAAATACAGATTCTAGTTTTTTTTTTTTTCCTGGACACCACTTTGGAATGTCTCCTCTTTTTCCTTGCATTTGTAAGTTGAGTGGTCTCAAACTGCTTCCTAGTTTGCTGAGTATCAAAGCCATCTCAGGACAGATCATCTTCCAATGTACCTTTCAGCAGGGCAAGGGAGCTGCCTCATCCAATGACCAAAGGTCCAGGAAGCCTCCTAGAAATGTCTGGGTTGGGGGTTGAGCTGAGGATTGACTTTGACAGGGAAAAGCAAAGCCTCAGAGGTGAGACCCCCATGCCAGACACCACCTAACTTAGCTTGACATCCTGTTCCGTCTCCTAGAGCACTGGGAACCAACCCTCTCCACTGTGACTGCAGTCTGCGCTGGCTATCCGAGTGGGTGAAGGCGGGCTACAAGGAACCGGGCATCGCTCGCTGCAGTAGCCCCGAGCCCATGGCTGACAGGCTCCTGCTTACAACCCCCACTCACCGCTTCCAGTGCAAAGGTAGGTGCTACCTCCTACAACCCTCCCCAGCCCCGCAAGGTCAGAGCTGGGCATCTCAACAGATGTGAGTTTGGAAGCCATCACCCGATCTATTTCTTCAAGGAGCCCTTGATGGTGCAATGGTTTAAGCAGCTCAGCTGCTAACTGAAAGATTGGTGGTTTGAACTCACACAGCAGAAGGAAGGCCTGGTGATCCCATAAAAAATATTGTTGTTAAGTGCCCTAGAGTTGGTTCTAACTCATAGCGACCCTGTAATAGGGTTTCCAAAAAATGGCTGGTGAGTTTGAACTGCCAACCTTGTGGATCCAACAGATCTTATGGTCCAGTGCTTATTGTACAGTGCCATAACAGGACTCCATAGAAATAACAACTTGGAAAATTTTATGGGGCAGTTCTACTCTGTCACGTGGAGTCAGTCGTATGAATCAAAATTGTCTAAGTAGCCCCTAACAACACAAACATCTCTTCCTTGGGTTACACAAAGAGACTCAGGTGCTGAAGCTGATACTGACCTGTAGCTACCAATCACCTGTTATCCTCCCCCGCCCCCCTACTGCCCACCTCCCACCCTTCACTCCCACCTCCACCCCCACGCCCGGTCCTTCTGCTGCCATTTCTGCCTGTTTCCTAACTGATATCTTTCGGCAGATATTTTTGCAGAGTGGACTATTAGAACATAAGCATTTTTCTATTTTACTGCAGCAAACTTTCATACAGGTGATTTTACTGACTGCATCATTATAGTACTAGCTCCAAAGTACTACTGAGTGTTATCACATGGCAGGAATTAAGCTAAAGTTCTTCTTAATGTATCATTTCATTTAACCCTCATTTTTCATGTATTAAGTTATTTAAATCTCCAACACCTCTGAGGGATAGACTTTAATATTACCCTCATTTTAGAAAGATGAGAAAACTGAGCTTTAACAAGATTAAATGACTTCTCCTGAAGATCCTGAAGTTAGGAGAATCCCGGGTCTTTCTGACTCTACACTGTTGACCACCAAACTGAAGGCACTGACAAAAAAACAAAGCTCCAGGAATTGGTAGAATACAACTGGAAATATTTCAACAACTTATTTCACCATTACTCTGGTTTTGAATGGTTAGAATATTTCTATTTTTCTTATTATTAATTCAAATTGCCAACCTTTTGGTTAGCTACTGGTGATCTACTTTCCAAAACTCAGCCATACAAAACCCTCTTGAGTTTTGCCCTGATACCCATGGAGTTGCCATGCGTCAACTCGAGGGCAACTGATTTGGTTTGGTGGTCTTTTTATTGGTTTGTTTTTATTGGTACATAAAGGTCTGACCCTATTTCAAATTATGTTCCTACGTAAGATTCAGAAAAGGGAAAATTATTGAGCCAAAATAGGTAGTCATTTTTAAGGCCTTAACACATAATGTCAAATTAATCTCCAAAAGGGCTTTGGGCCACTTGAACACTCACAGTAGGCTCATTTGTATGCTTTTTCACTTCTAGCGGACGAGACCAGCATACACTCAATCTTTACTTGATCTTATTTTTTAATCATTGTTAATTCAATAAGCAATATACATTGTTGTTGTTAAGTGCTGTCAAGTTGGTTCTGATTCATAGCAACCCTGTGTAGGGTTTCTGAAGAGCAGAAGCTGCAGTTTGAGCTGACCTTGCAGTCCAGTGTATTATCCTGCAGCGCCACAACAGCACTCCAAGCACAAGGTTGGCTTGAACCGCAAGGTCAGCAGTTCAAACTCACAAGCCGGCTCCCTGGAAACCCTATACAGGGTTACTATGAATTGGAACCAACTCAACGGCACTTACATATTATGTATGTATCATTTAGGAGTCCTGGTGTGGTGCTATAGGAGAAGCACTGAACTACAAGGTTGGCGGTTCAAACTCACAAGTTGCTCCTCGGAATCCCTACATAGGGTCACTATGAGTCGAAACCAAGTGGTAGGCACTTAACAATAGCAACATATATCCATTTATCTTGTTTGTCTTTGAATATCAGACTTTTTCTCAAAAATGTATTTTTCATTTGTATTATAAATTTGTCTGTTAATATCCTTTGCTCATCTCTTTGAGCCTTAATATTTGTTTTTATTTTTAGATGTACTTCCCTGTGCAATAATATTTTCTGTATTTTAAATTGAAGCAATAGGGCAGATAATTTTGGCATCATCCAGTTATCTCAGGATTCAGGTAGCAACCTCTGCAAACCTTCCTTCTGCGGAAAGCAGAAAGCACTCCGTTAATTTTAAGTTCATTTGAATTTTTCTTCCTTCTGCTCACAAGACATCTGTGCTGATTTGTTGTTGTTGTTGTTGTTGTTGTTACTGTTCTCAGATCACAGTTTACAAGAACAGACATAGCACTCCACAACCCCCAACTCAAGATCCAGTTGTCACCTAATTTTTATTCCTGTCCATCTGGCACCCATTGTGTTGGTGAAGGAAGATCCTTTGAGTGATGTTCACATGAGAAGGGAAAAGCCAGATTCTCCATCTATCACCTTCTTGCCCATTGTTACTAGAATAGTGAGAACTGTAATTCTGTGGGACTTTTCACGGCCGTTTAATCTTTACTGTATTGGTGAGAAGATTATGCCCATTTTAAAGTTGGGAAAACTGAGGTCCAGATTGGGGAAGTAATTGGCCCAAGGTCCAGTAGCCAGGAAGTTGCAAACTCTAGCTTCCTAACCCGGTGCCCTAGGACCCGTATCAGGACCCCATGGCAATAGGCAAACAGCACCTAGTGAGCTGGTCCATCCCGGAGCTTCCAGACTGATGTGATTTATCGAGGCCCACAAAACTCCGGTGTCAGCGACAACTCCCGCCACATGTCATCTGTGCTGTTATTAAAAATCAATTCTCCCGGGGCAAAGAAAAGTGCCCACACTGACAGCGTGCAATCTGTTCTTGTCACTTATTTATTATCCACCTTCTCTTGGGAATTTGAGGATGTAAACATCAGCAAAACCATCTCCCTGTTTCCAGTTGATTACAAAGGGAGATGGACACCTCCCATTGGGTCACTTTGTCCCCCTCAATCCCGATCTATTGTCTTCCATTCCAGTCTACTAGTGCTGTGCAAGGGTTTACTGCCAAGGGGTTAAAAATACATAAAAGAAAGACAGGTGCTATTAAGTCAATTCCTACTCCTGGTGTGTATCAGTCAGAGTAGAATGGTGTGCCATGGGGTTTGTCAGTAACTGAATTTTCAAAAGTAGATGGCCAGGACTTTCTTCTGGGGCACCTCTGGGACAACTCCAACTGCTAACCTTTCAGTTGGAAGCCCAGCACTTAGCCATTTGTATCACTCAGAGAATCCGCCAGTCGAGGGGACCTGCCAATTTTAATGGGACTTCTGCATATATTCACTAGGAAAGTAGCTCTGGTTGGAACAACTCAACAGGTCAGCAGGAGAAAGATAGAATGTCTGCCTATCCATCAGTCTGTCTGTCAGGGGAGTGAGGTGAACATCCTCAGCCTATCTCGAGTTTTCTCCTTCCTCAACACTTTATTTGTTCTCCTCCGGCACAACTGTTATCATTAGTTCATCAAGAGTACTTGTGAATACACGATACTTGTTGTACTTGCTTCTTGAGTTAACAAACTGGATTGACAAGGTGCTGTGACAATGAACGCAGCATAGCAATGATGGTGGGGATGGCTCAGGACGGGTCAGTGTTTTATCCTGTGTGCGTAGCATCACTCTAAGTAGGGATCATTTCCATGGCACCTAACAACAACCACAGGTTTTTAACACCATTATTTTAGATTCATGGAATCTCATGGATTTAAAAAGGAATCTTAGAGCCGCTCAATCTAACCATCTGCCTCAATGGGGAGCAACCATTTTCTGCAAAAAGGCCAATTCTGGAAAAATAAAGCTGTTTATGGGCTATCTTTCTTTTATGATATTTGGATGCTTTCTCCCAATAATTGCACACCGAGGAATTTCTGTTAAAGAATAATCCAGAATAAGGGAAAGATTTGGTGCATTAAGAGCTTTGTTGCAGTTTTATTTTTACCTTAGATTTCAAATAGAACCTCCAGGTGCCACTGTGTGAAAATATTTGAGGAAACATGATACAAACACAAAAACATGATACAAGCCAATGAAGTACAATTATTACCAAGTGATAAAGATAAAAACCAGACAACACCATGTAACAGTATTCACCACATAGCATCAAGTAGAAAAATAAACCAAGACTGTATATACTTGTATATTACAGTTATAACTGGTAAGAAAGGCTATAGGAAACATTGAAAAACCATTGATACCTAATAAAGTTATCTTTGTTATAAATTAGGTCAAAGCTAAAGATTAACAAGGTACAGTAATGTATTTATAACTTAGGGGTTAGGCAAAACTGTGTTTTGCAGTATCTGCAACTACGTGTGTGGTCATTTGCACGTTCTTACTACACTCTGGTGCAAATGATCACAAATAGTTGCAGATACTACAAAACACAGGTTTTGCCTAGTATGCTCTGGTAAGGAGCTCTGGTAACGTAGTGGTTA